ATTTTAAAAGCAAGCATTTCTTAAAACCTAATGTACACAGAGACCCTTTGTCATAAATGACAACATAGTTTCTTGTGAATTTTAGAATGACAGAAATGAAATGGAAATTTTTTTGGCTCTCCAGCTGTAATTAAGATGATCAAAGAAATATCTAAAAAAAACACTGCCACATTGTCTCTGTACCCCTTTTAGAATGATGACCATTATGTATGGAATATCTAACGGACTATATGTATGTGTAAGAGAGCATTAATATAACAGTTATATTCAACTGGATGTTGACTTTTCCCTCTGCAGGTCATTCCTGATTCAAACACAACACTAGTTTTGAGTCTTCATCATCCTCAAGCCCAAGTGCGAGAAATGGCAATCAAACGTCTAGGAGAACTATTAGCAGATAAAGGGGTACTGTTCTTCAGTTGTTGTCCAGCTGTTATATTTGTGATCAGCCCTTGATCCTTTCACCTCCAAGAACTCTTTAGTAATTCTCCTTACTGTCTGGAAGACAACTCTTTTGATTCTTGTTTGAAGAATTTGGTATTAGATCAACTAGTAATTGATATTTTTTTGTTATTCTCATCACTTGCCTGCTTGATGTTGTATGGATATTATAGGGAGAAATTCTGTCTTGGTCAGTCATGTGAGTTAGAGGGTTACATTAGCCTGAGCCTGTTTGTAGCTTCCCCCCTTGCTTCTTTTCTTTTGGAGGGTTACACTTGTCAATTATTTCTGATGCTTGCGATGGAATGTTGGAAGCATGGCTTATTACTTTTTTAGTAATTTGTGTGACTGTAGTTTCTATACAATTATAACTCTGGTAAATGTTGGCTTGACAGGGCTTGTCTGAAGACAAACAGTTCATCAGCTATTCATTACTTTCACGACTTCAAGATGATGATCCATCTGTGGTGGCTTGTGTGCTTAAGTTGGGACAGGTGAAATTCCATGATTTTTCTCAAGATAAAGAATATTAGTTGAGTTTTTTGTGATTTATCATTGCTTTAGATGCACTAAAAATATGTGATTATATTAATAATGTATCATGGGTATTATTTTGTAATTAGGGGCTTGTAGATAATCTTCCCATTGATCAGTTTTTGAAAGAAATGTTTAAACTTCTGGACAAGAAATCAGAGGAGTGGTGAGTGTAACACAATTTTATGGACATTATGATGACCAAATTAAAGGAAACATTAATTTCTTTTGTAAGTCTATCAAGCTAGATTTACATGCAGTAATAATTCTTTTTTTGGTCCTGTAGGGACAAGGTCCGAGAGGAAGCCTCTCTATTGTTGGTTGGTGACTGGGTAACCTGTGCTGTGCCATCACTTGTAGCAGAAGTTATGTTTGGTTTATTGCCTCGTCTACTGCTCCATCGTCAGTCTCACAAAATGGCAGTTCAGTTGTCATTAATTGTCAGCCAATCAGAGCTGGCTTCACTGCATCCTCTTTTGACTGGAATGGAAGATTTTGTTCAAAAGAAAGGTAGATACATATGCATCATTTACAGTTATATGCAAACATTCAGCAACTACAGCAACTAACAAAGTTATCTTCTTTCAGTGCTTACAAAACTGGTGTCACCTATCAAAAAGGGATTGTACATGTATCTGTATTGCTTATGTATCAAATTATATCTGTAGGTATCAATAAGTTGTATTGTGATTAGCTGAGATACATTTTGTTATTCAAGTATGAATGTACTTTATCCTCTAAAACTCTTTCAGAGTGGAAAAGTTGCACAAAGATTGTTGACCTTGATAAGCTTGCCTTGGCCAGCAGCTTACTGATCAGTTGGCTTGGAGATAACTTGGTTAAGTTGGATGAAGAACAATGTGTGGAGATGGTGGGTAAAACAACTCTTCTCCCCTCCATAGACGTGTAATTCTTGATATCAAGAATTATTTTTTTAGACTTGTAAATATGACTGGCACTGTCATTCATGAGAATTGGAATCAGAACCTACATTGTACCTCTGAGCATACATGTATGTACTAACTGTAGATGTTTGAAGTCAGTAATTGTAAAGAATTCACCTTTAAAAGTTAATTTTAAAGTTGTTACATTTCTTCTTGACTCTCTCTCAATCAGGTTCAGAGTATGATAGGGTATGCCAAAACTCTTTCAGATGAAAGTCTTTTCTACCCTCTCCTGAATTGTCTGCTCAGTAGGGTCATTGCTACAGCAACAGAGGAGTGTAAAATTAAGTTTTGCCAAATCATCACAGAATATATCTTACCCGATATTTGGAAAGTGACAAGATTGCCAGGAAACTATGAGCCACTCAAGGTACTGTGGACTGGACTGACATTTAATGTTTAAAGCAACAATCTGAGAAGTTTTTCAGTGCTCTGTCTTTGAATTAAGTGACCTCTACCCCACTTTCCTTCATTTTATTATGCTCAATTTTCTCTTGGATTTTGAAAGAATAAAGAAGTGTGCTAAAAAGAGAAAACTTCCTTGCTTTCCTGGGATTTAATTGATGAAAAAGCAACCATATTATTCTTTCTCTAAACTTGGAAAACAGGAAGCCAACCTGAGAATATTTCTGCAAACCTGTGCTCTCTTCTGAAAACCTGATGGATGTAGCTTTTGCTCTGATCTTTTCAGTCATTCACATAAAATGCAGAAGATCTTGTCTGGAGTGCAGAAATAGTGATTTTATGTTGTTTATATGTGAGCACAGTACCAATTGTTTTCTTAGGAAGGTGTTTCTTTTATGTATACATTTTTAGGATGAAGAGTCAGGAAACAAAGACACAACTCCAGGGCATGTGGTTCCATTTTCTCAACTAAAATGTTTGGTGAAATTTCTTGGTAAACACAGCAATAAGCGGCTGAATCATTCCAAAGGTGCCATTACACTGTGGCTGTGTAAGATATTGATAAAGAACATCCCTACTGTGCCTTGTGCTTTAAGTGGTGAGAAATGTTTTTTGAATTATGGAGTAAATAATGTAAGTTAAGCATTGTTGGACAATGCAGACAGTGGTTTAATTGTTAAACTATGGACAGTGTTGATAGTCAGTGAGCAGCTGGGATTCGATTACTTGTTCCTCCTCCCTTTCCCCAATTTTCTGTACATGTCTGGTTGTCACATAATGTACAGAAATCTAAAGACATATTATACATGTGCATTGTTTGTCACTTGTAGAACAGTGGTGGCCAGAGGCAGATGGTAATAACCCAGAAGGCATTTATACTAAGGTATGGAACATAAAGCATAAGGATACCGTTCCAAATTAAAAGTGCAATTTACAAGTCCTTACCTTTCCTTTTCCTTAGCTTCTGACAATGCTGTTTGAGGCTGTAGCATTTGGAAGTGGCACTTCAACAGCACATCAAGATTTATTCAAAGAATTACTTCAAGATCTCTTCCAGGTAAAAGACAATGTAGAGAGAGGTCAATTACGTACTCAGGTGTACATAATATATGTTAGAGATTTATCCATTTTGAAGTAGCTACCAGAGTTAAATTCATTTTATTTTTTATTTTCTAATTTACTTGTAGTCATCAAATCTACTGTATTAAGCATTTTAAATTGTTGAGTTAATTGTTTACACATTTATCATTTATGTGTTACAAGTTTTAGTTTCAATATCCATTGTTCAGTTAAATGTCATTTTCCGTTACATTCTTTTCCAGTGCCATTTACCAGAAAAACTAGTCCTGCTAAAGTTTCTAGGACATTTATGGTGTAAAAATCTCCACCAGGGAGGGGAGAGTGGATTAGCTCTTCTGCAAGTTCAGTGTCTTCACATCGCTACTGCATGCTTTGGCTCCATTAGCGGGAAAGCGGTGAAGGAACTGGCCAAGACAACATGTTCAGGTACAATAGTGTTTTTGCTGCAGGTAACCAAACTAAAATTTGAGTTGCCAATTATCAGGTTGTGAGTGATACATTTGTCATCGATGTACATTTGTATACAGGTGTAACTCGATTCTTGCTTTTGCAGTTGTACCTTCTCTTATGGTGCCGCTGTGCAGCCCAGTCTCTGCTGTAAGAAAGTCGGCTGTTGCTTGTATAAAGATTATCAAGTCCAAACTATCTTCTGTCCAAGCCTGTCCAGTGACGGCACTTCTTGATGTCTTGAAGGACAGTGCTGAAGAACTTTCTGCAGATTCCGAGCAGTTACATAGGTGAGAATATGATATTATTTAATTTTTTTTCACTTATAGAAAAATTTCAAATTTGCCAAATTTTTTTATTACCTTTGGAACGGGTCACTTCTTGTCTTGAGGCGAGCGGAGGAAAGTATTAGGAAAGAGCGAATAAATGGCGTGGAAAGCGAGAATAGCGCGAGGCGCGAGCGAGTATAGTGCGAGGCGAGAGCGAGTATAGCTTGAGGCGAGAGCGAGCATAACGTGAGCCTCAAGGGCGAGTCACGCGTGTGACCTGCCTTTGCACGCACATAGCGCGTGCCATCCCTCGCCTGAAAACGCCAAAAAAGGGAAAAATTATTGCTCGTTGTGCAGGACTAATCATTTACTATTTGAACTATTCATTGACAGGGTTCTTGGTGAGTTCTTTGCACCAGCGGTATCCCGCGGAAAGCCTCACTCCAAGTCATCGCACAATAAAATCATTAAGAACACGCTGGACTTCTTGTTACAACATGTAGCATCCAGTGAAACGTCTTCCTTTGTTAGACGTACCATACTGTCATCGTTACGCAGTGTTACTACTCAGGTATGAAGAAACCGATGGCTACAGGCAAGCACTGAGCATCTCGATTTTTTATGAGAAGTAGAATAAACGGTAGATTTTTAACACGGTTGTCTTTGGAGAAAGATGTTACTTGAGAATTGGTGTTGTTAGACTTTTGAATTTGTAGATCTTAGCAGTATCCAGGTCGCCAGTTCCTTATGAACCTAGTAATTGGCCGAATTCAACGCTAGGTTTTCTTGCGCTCAGAGGTGGAAGATCAGAGCGGAGAAACCAAGAGTGTGGGCAGCATTTTATAACGGGGGAATGTCGTTTTTACACAGGAGATGCTTCAGACCCTGTTGCCGCTCGTGGAAAAACTATTAGACAAGTGCGAGGATAGCAAAGCCCTCTTGCATGAAGATGAGAGTATTCTGCTACAACTGATTTTACAAAAGTACACCCCGGACACTGCTGCACTGCTGCAGGAGGAATCCAAATGTTGGAAAGAGATGTTGAGGGTGCTCTCCCTGAGATCTGCGGTCTGCCCCGGACATCCGGCACCAATGTTGACTATGATTGGCCAGGTAAGTGCCATAGAATGAGTCTTTGCGACCTGTTTGGAAGCAGTATATAAGAAGTGTTTTGTCGCATCTAATCCATCAGAAGCCTTGATAGCAGGAACTGTGATTTTTTTCCCCCTCTAAACAGCTTAGAAACAGGCGATTTCGGACACTTACGTGCAATTTTGAATAGTTTCGTCCGATTTTTAACGTTTCCCGTCTGGTTTCAAACACTTTCCACATTTCATTTCACATCCCATTTCAGAAGCTTCCGTCTGGTATCGGAAGGTTCCTCCTGGTATCGGACAATTTCGCCTGTTTTCGAACAGTTCCGTTTGATTTGGGGCGGTTTCATTCGATTTTCGGAGATTTGTCTGATTTTGGACACATCCGTCCATTTTTGGACACCCCAGTCAGATTTAGATAAATTGAATTATAACGTGTATGTTGGCTCCCGGACGCCTTTGTCTTATGTCAAACATTTCCTCTCAATTTTGCACCTTTCTTTCAGATTACAAATAGATTTTTCCAAGCAATCCCAGCAGAAGGAGTAAAGCAGCATCTGATGAAGATTTTTGTGGACACGATGCTTGAAGCAAAGGATGTTGTTATAGGAAATGCTGCCAAGAATTCTCTGTTGAAGGTACACTGTTGAAAAAACTGTTAAAGCTCTCTGCAAAAATGAGAGATACCGTCCCGTAATTATAAATCTGATGCCCCGCCAAGACTCGAACCTCAGCCACTTCTGATTTCGTGGTCGCTTAGCAGCTCGGGCGTTCAATAAAGGAGCATTCTGATTCATGGCAAGCGTTATAAAATAAAAATTTGCGGTTGTCGTTTATTCATGTGCGCGTAGTTGTCCTTGTAAAGTCGTGACTAACCCGATTTTGTTTTCTTCGCAGCTTACTCTGACAGCAGATCTGATTACTGAAGAGCTATGTAAGCTGAATTCCAATACTGATAAAGAACCAAAGAAGAAGAAAGTGAAGAAGTTAGTTTCCCGAGCGTTTGATTTATTTTGATTAGTATTCATTAGTGCTGTTTGCACAATTTCTTGTGCTGGTTGCATGAGTTTTTTTCTTTCACGGAGACGGTAAATGTTCTTTTGACAGGGCGCGAAAGGGTGAGCAAGATGACGAGAACGAAGGAGCAGTGCAGCTACAAAGAGTGACAGTTGTTCTTGAATTGTTACAGAGTAAGATTAACATTGAAGAACCACATCGACTTCTACCAACCTTGTTTGGGACCCTGACCAGGTACATGTACAGACCTGTGATGAGAAAAAAGAAGGGAAAAACCTTGTGAAGTTATGTAATTTGAAAACGACTCTCCTTTGTATGGTGAACGGAAAGTAAAAGCTTACTCTACCACACACATTTCGTTGGACTTATTTAATGACGGAAACTTCTAAAACTTCTGCTCTTCGTGTAGCTTGAATACCAGCTGCTTTGAACTTTTGCATAGAGGTTTCACGTCCAATGTGTCTGTCGATTAATGTTAACAATAGGTTTTTTTGTCCATCACACAGTTAATATATGTTCAGGTTGGCATCAAGACTTTGTTTAATTTTTTTGTTTGTTTCTTTTGTTTGTTTGTCTCCCCCTCAGGTGTGTAGAACTCGATCACAGTCAAACAGCTTCAGAGTACATTATGCAGCTGGTATTTTCTCTCATCAACAACATCTGTC